ATGCATTTTTCTGTTGGATCGGGTCACTGTGGACCTGATTTTGTAGAGGGCAAAATGTGTACTATTGACTTTTAAATAATGAGTCTAATTTGAGTTATTTAATGAGTGGAGTCCAATGTTTTATTGATTCATTAATAAAAGCCAAAATAAGAAGCAAATATATTTAATGAGTGGAGTCAAATGTTCTTAACGTTGATTGGATTTTACCAACATTGTCATAATGTTCAAATAGGGACTGATTTGAGATTGAGAGTCTTGCACTCTAGGTAGTCCAGACTACCAAGGAGATTGGTTCATATGAAATTAAGTCAAAGGCCAGTATATGAATAACGTTCAAAGTCAATGCTCTATATAGTTGTTTACAAATGGAATCAAGTTAATTGTTTGATAGAATAATAGATATTTGTGATTATGAAGTTGTTTACACAAAACTAAATTCATGTTGGTGTTAAAAATATGAGTAGCATTTCAGATAGTGATGAAAATTTTGTTATCTCTTTAGTCTTCTCATCCTATGATAACCTATCCTTCTCTTTAATATTCTCTTTAGCCTTCTATTTAGTCTTCTATTTAATCTTCTTAGTTGCACTAAATTCATGTTGGTGTTAATAATAGCTAGAAATTCCTAGCATTGTTGTAAACAATCAGTTTAAGTGGAGGATTGTCGTATGAAATTTGGTAAACAAATTTCTAGAAATTAGCTTCACAGTGTTTTAGGTTCCATTTAATTTGGTATTTGTTTTTGTGTGATATATTTCTCTTAGGGTGTGTCAAATGGTAAAGCTGCAAGTAAACCATCTATTCTATGACATAATGCACTAGACTTATTCCAAAACATGAGTCTATTGTTTTGATTAAGTATTTTAGTGTTCATTTGTCTTAATTAGTTGAAATTTTTATGATGAGTTATTAGATGAATGTTGATGATTTTGTTTGTGGATAATGATTTGTTGGACTGGATTAATATTGATGATTTTGTGTGTGGATAATGATTTGTTGGATTAGGTGACTATATATGATTATTTGATTTGTTGAAATTTAGGGTTTATGATTTGTTGGTTAAATTTGGACTTCTTTTCCTCTCTTTGTTTGTGCATTTGTCTTAATTAAATTTGTTTCTAAAAAAAAAATGATTTGTTGATTAATTGATATGACTGTTTGGTTTGATTAATTCATGTGTATGATAGAAAAGGTTGGGAGCTACATTTGGAGCTCATTTATTTAGCTTGCAAGCTTGATTTACTTCCCCAAGTTTTCATTCTCTTCCCTCGCCACCTTTGATTTTAATCTATTGGTTTGGAAAAGCTCATATTCAAGTAATTTTTAAACTCTAAATCCCTAATTGATGATAATGCATAATATTTTTAGTTAGTTGAAATTTTTTTAATGAGTTGTTAGACGAATGTTGATGATTTTGTTTGTGGATAATGATTTATTGGATTGAATGAATATTAATGATTTTGTGTGTGGATAATGATTTGTTGGATTATAGATATGACTATATATGATTATTTGATTTATTGGAATTTAGGGTTTATGAATTTGTTGATTAAATTTTGTGATAGACTTTTTTTTAAAACTTAATAATTTGTTTATCCATGATGTGTAAATAACGTAGTAGCATATTTAAATTTTTTAAGGGGTGTTTTCAATCAAGTGCTTCCTTCTATTCTTTGAAAAGACATCTATTTTGGTAAACTAAATTACCGACCAACAACAATTGCCATATGCAATTCTGCAAACAAGAGGACAATGCAAAAAATTTCAACTTCGATTTGGGAGCATGAGAAGTGATTCCAACAAAAATGATCGACTCATTCAAGCAATCTTCGACGACACAATGCCACTTCTTGAACCAACATCGTAATTATCTGATAAAAGTTTGGCTACTCATGACAAAGAAAACATTGCTACTCAAATGGTTCCACCCATTACCCCGCTTCTCTCAAAGCAAATTCCAAATGCATCTTCCACAAGCTCAGCAAATGCCTCTATGACAGAGGCTACCCCAATTTTTTTTTTTAAAAAGAAGATATAAAGACGCTGTCAGAAGAGCTCTCTTTACCTTTCACCCATCAAAAAAACCAAAAAAGTTAGAATTTATACAACAATTAACTTCTTTATATCAATATTTATGCATTTTCTAACATTTACCAATATATTTCTTTTTTCTTCCTTGTAGCATTTCTCTAAGTCATGTTAGAACCAAAAACAAATATGAAGAAATTGTTGCTACAAAAAGTATGGAGGAAATTGTATCAGATTCTGATTTACCGATCATTGGCTTAAAGAACAAAACAAGCAGTTTGGCAACTAGTTCTCCTACCCCAAGATTAGAGTTTGTATTCTCTCTTTTACAATTCACTCATATCATTTAAATACACATTACATGCATAATATTCAATTATTCATATCTTCATTCTTCACTCAATTTTTATATATTAAATTGTAATAAATTGTGTTTAAAAAATCATCATTTTTGTGATATTTTGATTAATACTTTATTTTAATATTGTGTTCCATTGAATTAAAGTATTATAAGATTGTCTCTACTTATTATATAGGTCCAAAAACCATTTAAACTACTATTGAATTACGTATAAATGAAATTTTTGCATGCTGAATGTTTTGGAAATACTATTAAATTGTTATATTTATAGGTGATTTTTTTTAGAAAATGTTCGTTTTTCAGGGGAGGCTCTGCCCATTTTTTAGCATAAATGTGAAACCCTTAAGTAATTTTAACTTTAAATAAGCGCAAAAGACATTTTAGTCATATGTACCTAATACGTAACAGAATTAAAAGCTTAAACAAATCTACATCATTTTCTTCAATTTTTCTTCAATACATTCAACCATAATTATTTTATCTCTTTTCAACTTTTCCTTTAGATGAACACAGAATTTAAAATATGTTTACTTTGTGTTACTTCAATTGGAAAACCATCTACAACTTGCTCATTAGTTCTCCTACTTCAACATTTCTCTCTTTTACAATTTACTCATCTCATTAAAATACATAATATTTAATTATTCATATTTGAAAAGAAAAGAAAAATATTGCGTTCTTATTTAATTTCATTACTTTGTGTTTCTTTGACTGGAAAACCATTTATAACTTTCTTATTAAATTGTTAAATTATATTATTCCTGTTTATACGTAATTAAATGTTTATGATTATTGTCCTAACTCAATTTTCCCCATTCATCAACATTAGCACTTGCTATTTTCCCACTTTTTTATAACAAGGTCAAGACCTCCATCAAAGAGAAGAAAAGTCATGAAGAAATTGCCAAACAAAACCTACCTAATTAAACAACATGCTGCTCAAAACTATCCAAATTTTGCTATTTTGATAGCTGCTTTCCACTACTAACATCTCAATGTATATACAAACATGTCTACTATTTTAACATAAGAAGCAGCCTGTAAAATATTTTATTACTTCCTTTTTTGCCACTTATATTTCCTTAGTTAAGCATAATGCTACAAGTTAAATCTCATTGTATATATAGACAATCTTATTTTGTCTACATAATTTCAAAACCCGCAACATCGCGCTGGCTTTTTTTGCTAGTATTATCTAATGATGAGGATGAATTGTGATTCAATATGGACTAAGTGATGGCATACCAACAACCACTTTTATGAAGAAACATTCATCTCATTAAAAAAGCTAATTAGGAGATGAGCACAATGCACATCACTATAGGAAACACTAACATTTTAACTTAAATCACAATGGCATTGAAAATAACTTCAACTATAAATCCTATATTATGAATACATGATTATGTCATGATTTATCTGAAATCAAGCTCCTCATATCGATCAAGTCATACTTCGAAAATCCGGGATTGAATGTGTTGTGCCAAAACTTCCAGTAAAAGATATTCACACACTAATTTCCAACCTCTGCTAGAGTCTAGGAAATGACAATACAATTTTCATACTAACACATTGCGCTAATCCTTCAACATAATTATCACTGTATTTACCCCAAGTTTCATCTTGAAATGCATGACGATCTTTTTCATGTAATACTATTAATAAACTATCCAAGTTAATTCCTCATATCTCTCACTCGATGGAAATTCTTGTTGATTAAAATAACTATGCCTCCACAAGTCGCTTGTAGAAAAATTGAGAAAGATAAGAGACTTATAGGGATCATTAAGGATTCCAAGGAGAACATATTTAGTAGAATTGAGGTTAGATTCAATTTAATACATAAAATAAGTGCATATATACAACATTGAAGTTATGGTCATACTTCTACATATTTTTTCTAATATTTTCGGGTGGTAAAGTAAAAGAATTGTTTAGTAACTTATAGAATAAACAATTAAGAACATTACTCTTTATATACATTTCACCGAAAGTTGATGCAACCCAAAATGGGGACTTCGATTAATTTAATTAGTCTTAGAAACTTTGAAGTAAAGCAGTAGGTTTATAATGAGAGCTCAATTAATTACATACCTTTACTTTTTATTTACAGGGAGAAAGGAGATATGTAACTTAATTGTTTGAGCGCTCAATTAGTTATATCGCACGGTGGAGTCATTTAGGCAATGTTTTACCAAAGGATTAAAAACTTATTCTTTTTTTTTAAATAATCAATGATGTGATGAAACCAAAGTAGGGCAACTCCTATTTCTTAGCCATTTAAGCCATGTTCCAACCGTTTTTCGTTGGAGGGTGTACTCAATTGAGATTTCAAAATATTTTAAAGAAGTTTACAAGTCTAGGTGTATTTAATCACGATTTTATAAAAGCATATAAAATTACGAGTGTATTCAATCCAGACTTCTTAAATTCCAGTTAAATTTGGTTGTATTCAATCATGACTTTAAAGGATTCCATAAAAGTTTGGGTGTCTTAAAAAATTCAATGATTTTAAGGGAAATACAAAAAATTGAGGATTTCAATTGATTCTGGACTAATTTTAGGCCATGAAAAATCTTTGCTTCACCCCTAGAGATTTTAATAGATATATTTATATATTCCCAATATATGATTTCACCACCTCTACTACCATCATCTTGTCATGACTATCACCACTTGTGTCGTAGTCACTGGCACCACCACTACCCCCGCCACTGCTACCATCATCACCACCACCGCCATCGCCGTCACTGCCACTGCCACCCCTAAAGCCATCACTGCCACCTCCACCACCACCATTACCACCACTACCCCTACCGTCACCACAACCCCCACTACCGTCATCGCTACCACTACCACCATTGTCACAACCACTTATGCCACCCCATGTGCCACCGACACAATTCCGCCGTCGCCACCACCACCACCACTGCCACCACTTGACATATTCATTACCACCACCATTAATGCATCTACCATCCCACCACCACTACCTCTATTGCCATCACCAACATCAAACATGATGACTCACTACTATTTCGAATTATAGAAGTTTATAAAAATCTATCGAACTCTATGATAAGATTCCAACAAACTTCATCAAAATACTTATGAAATCAATCAAAGTATATATGGCATTTATGAAACTCAAATAAAACCTATAGAGTTCTAACTATTTTAAAATCTAAATAATGCTATTTGGACGACATTTATTGACCCCATTGCTGAACATCTCTGTAATTGAGGTGGGTTTCACAAGTGTATGTGAGACCCATCTGTATTAGAAGGGTGGACATCAATGTCGTCCAAGGAGCAACACCCTTAAAATTTTAATTAAATACACCCACTGGTCAATTTAGAAGACAGCTGAGATATGAAAGTTCTTGGATAGGCCACGACACGATGTTAAGTGGACAAACAAACATTTGAAGTTGATTGTTAGATCTCAACAATCAACACATCTCGGTCGTCCGCAAAACCAACCCTATGCAAGTGCACCACATAGAATTAGGGCTAGTTTAGGAGTGACTCTAGGAGAGCGAAAATCACTTGAAGTTGAGTATAATCACTTTTGCTTTTAAAGAAAGGGGGAAGCCACCTCCACAATGACCAAATAGGAAAAGAAACTCCCTATTCCAAATGGATTTAATTCCTATCTTTTCTCCAAAACAAAGAAGCTGGCCTAATCATGCTCGTTTTCATCGACGTTTAGTAGCCGTAATCGCCCTCCTAGACTTGACAGCGTCGAGTCACTTTTCTTCCGAGTCGAGTCACTGCCATCACTCATCTCTTCGACTCTGGGGAGCTGGCCTCGTTGTTGTCTCTCTCAGATCGTGGGCATTGGTTTCATCATTCTCTTTCTCCTCGGTGCGTTTGCATCTCTAGTGGTTGCCTTGGTATGGTGGTTTCAGCGGGTCTGCTCCTGCTATTGTGCCGACAGTCTCCAAGTCAACAACGATCATGATGCAATCTGCTTTGTTGGGGTCAATGGTCATTGTGGAGGTGGCTTCCCCCACACCCCCTCTATCGTCTGATCTGTGATCTCAAGCCTTACCTTTAAGAGAAGACGGCCACTATCCAGAGATTTGGCATGGGTGGCTCTTTACCTAGAGACTGGCCTAGTGGAGTCTGTTGGACTCGTTCTTTAATGTGTTCTTGGAGCATTCATAGGCTTGGCATCCGAAAAATTCTCTTATGCTTGATCCCTGTCTTCAGATTAGGTGGATAGGCTAGTTTTGTTATTGTTGCGTAGTGTTTTCTTCGTTATCCCCTTACCTGATCTTTGATTCTGCGCCTGTCTCAAGGACTATGTTTTTATATGAGGTTTCTTTGTCAGTGTTGAGATGATACGGCATGCTTGGGAGCTTTTTTTATTTATTTTCTTTCCTAGCCTGTTTGCGGTTAGTCTCTTCTTCGTGTTGCTCGTTGCAGATTTTTATTCTTTTATTGCCAATTGATATTGGAGGTAGCTGGAGATGGTGTGCTTAATGACTGTTTTCTTTCTTCTTGGTGTATTATGTACTCTGTCGGATGTTCTCACTGTCTTGTGGCTATGCAAAGGACTATGATTTCATAGCAGGACTATTTTGACAATTGGATGGTGTTATAGTGTTCTCGTTGGAGGTCTTTGCGACGAAGGTCTATGTTCCAGTTTGCTGTTTTATTTTCTCTTGCTCTAGCATTTATACTGCGTGACTGTTTCTGACTCTCTTGTTGGTCTATGACATGTGTGGTACTTTTTCATACCCTGAGGTTTTGTCCCTCATGAAGGTTTTAACGAGACCACTATTTCGTATCGTTCTATGTTAGCTACTTTAATTCTATGAATGAATTCCATTTCTAAAAAAAACATCAAAATCATTTTTTGCAGTATTAAAGCACTTCTATGTTGGTAGCCAAACAATAAACTGATTTTGTGTAAAAGAGCTACTAAGATAAAGTGATTATGCTGAAATCACTAATGAGTAAAATCGCTTCTACAAAATCACTCCCAAACGAGCCCTTAGTTTGGATGGGCTATAGCGCTTCCCCAAATGACTAAAATGCCCATACTCATAATCACCTCACTCAACTCAATGCTTGCCCAAATTAAGGTAGGGATCATCATTTGGCTTGCTGCCTGCAGCTCGAAGTGGGTAGCCCGATGACTGATAGGCCAAAGCTGGACCTGGCCCGCTGGTTAGGCCCACTCTACTTGACCTGCTCTAAGGTTGGGTAGGGCTTGGGCTTAGGATGTGAAACCCTTGGCCCGACTAGATCCGTCCTAGGCTCGCCCCGGACCTGGCCCGCTGGTTAGGCCCACTCTACTTGACCTGCTCTAAGGTTGGGTAGGGCTTGAGCTTAGGATGTGAAACCCTTGGCCCGACTAGATCCGTCCTAGGCTCGCCCAATCTTAGAGTAGCACAAATTGCTTTAATTTTCATGATGTCAATCATAAGTTGGGATATAAGTAACCCGTTTCATAGGATTCATTTTTAGATATAATATTTTTCAAATATATTGGCTATTGGTATTGGTTTAGTAAAAGTGTTTGGCTATTATATTTTTGTTTTATTAAGTTATGTAGTAATCTGTATTATTGTTTAAGAAAACGAAGCAGCCTGGCCCATGGCAGCCTGGCCCTCTGAAACCTTGGCCCGGCCCGATGATGAACCCTAAGTCAAGGCCAAGCAGCTAAGAACTAACGCCCACGGGTAAACTTGAAAAATATGTCATATGTAAGGGTCATTTTGTACATTGAGTCATATTCCAATTCGAGCGGGAAAATTGTATCGGTGACAACTGAAAAGGCAGAGCCTGTAACTGACGAACGCCTTTGCAACAAACTCCAAGTCCTTAACGATTTCAAGAAAACGAAGTCTTGGAGGAGAGGGAAGGAGAGAGAGAGCTAAAGCTACAAACTCCAAGTCTTTAAAGATTTCAAGAAAGCAAAGTCTTGGAGGAGAGAGAGAGCTAAAGCTAGAAACTTAAAGTGAAGACCATGTCAATTCCAATCCTTGAAGCTTGCAAGAAGAGGAAGCGAAGGCCAAAGATTTATGGGTTCAGTTCGTTTTGCGACCCTGGTTTCCCAATCGGTCCAAATGGTCCATTTCGAGACAACATTCGTCTCTTTCTTCAAGAATGTGCTGAGCTTGAAGACTACAGTGTCCAGGGCATGCCCACTTGGTGCACTCTTCTTGTGCATGACAACAGAAGCCTTGTTGTTCCTCTTTACACCATTGAAGAAGATGTGAAGACCTCTGAACGACCCTTTTGTGATCACTGCCGTTGCACAGGTTAGAACTCGAATATCTCTCTTCTAATTTGGTTATTTCTTCGATTTCTCATTTGGGTTTCTGCAAATTTTTGTTCACGGTTAGGGATTGGTCATTTGTCCCAAAATTGCTCATGATTTACTTTGTTCCTTCTTTTGTCAATTGGGTTTCTACTGTAGTACTCGAATTTCTCTGTTCTGATGTGATTGGTTTCTTCGACTTCTCTCAATTGGGTTTTTTCAAATTTTTGAGTAGGTTAGGAATTCATCGTTGGTGTTTCAGAAATTGCTTATCTTTTACTTTATTTGCTGGTTTGTAAAGTGGATTTCTGCTATAGAACTCGAATTCTCTAATATGAATGTTTCTCAATTCCTTAACGTTTCTGGTCATCCGTGTTACCAGAATTGCTTATGTTCCTCAATTCCTTGGTTTTTAAGTTGGTTTCTGCTGTAGAACTCTAGTTACTCTGTTCCAATGTGGTTTTCTCTTTGATTTCTCAATTGCGTTTCTGCAAGTTTTTGTTTAGGGCTAGAAAGGTCATTGATGTTCCAACAATTGCTTATCTTTACCTTTGTCCCTTGGTTTTTCGATTTTCCGGTGGGTTTCTGCTATTTTGGTGTGAGGTCCGGGAATTGGATATTGCTTGAAAATTTGCTGTTTCTGAAAACCTTTTTTGCTTCTAATTTTTTGTTGTTGCGTACTTCAAATGAAGCATGAGGACTGGACACAGTCCTGTGTTTCAGAGTAGAGCATATGGATGTAGTTAGAGAACTTGTTTGTAATCCTAACCCCAGAAATGATTCCTAATTCTTTCATTCCATCCATGTTCAATGACTTACATTTCCCTTTTCTATAAAACCAATGCCAGAACCTTTGGGTTTCTTTATTCACAGCACGCTGGTAGTTGTTTGTGCAGTCATTCCACGGCACTCTATCCTTTCTGCTGTAGCACTGTCATTCCAGCGACCTGACATGTTATTTTTGTTTAGGTTGGAGTAATCATTTTGTTTCGAAACGAAAGTACCATATTATAATTCCAATGGATGATGAGTGGCATAAGCCTTTGGAAGATGGCATCTGTGATCTCCCGACCCATCTATTGCATGGGTTGATTCACTGTAATGGGTACGCTCACTTGGTCTGCGTCAATGGACTCGAAGGGGGTTCTAAGCATCTCTGTGGGAGAGAGATTATGGATCTTTGGGACAGAGTTTGCACAAATCTTCGAACCAGGTAATAGGAAAACCCTACATTTCTTGATTTCGCAATTATATTATTGAAAATAAATGAAATCGTTTTGATGCTTTCTTCTATTTTGCAGGAAAATCACTGTTGAGGATGTCTCCAAAAAGCGGTCTATGGATCTTCGCCTTCTCCATGGTATTGCATATGGGCATTCTTGGTTTGGTCGATGGGGGTACAGGTTTAGCCACGGAAGCTTTGGTGTCACAGAACACAATTATGAAAGAGCACTTGAGATTCTGAGCTCATTAGAACTTGAAAGGATCATCCAGGCTTTTAGTGATATGGACCAGTGTGACGAGCTGAAACAAATAATTCGTTATTACAAAAATTTGAGTGAAACACAATTGATCACCATCAAAGATCTTCTCAGGTTTATGCTGACTGTCAAGGCTAGTGTTCCTGCACAGAAGAAATCATTAATGGCCACTTCTGCATTTTCATCTTCCACTGCAAAACCTGCAACCAGAGCAGCCCTCCAGATTAAGCCCCTGATGAAGGAAAAGTCTGTAAGGTATAGGAAGTTCAATACTGTTATTGCTCACATGGATAGCAGATGGCCTCAGAGAAGACTAGAGTTTGCGGCAGATGTGATTGTGAATGCATTGCAAGAAAAGAAAGAGAGAGACTTCAGTCATGGTGGGATGACCCGGCAAGATGTGCGAGATGCAGCTAGATTACATATTGGAGATACAGGTTTGTTGGATTATGTGCTGAAATCACTGAACAATGTGATTGTTGGGAATCACATTGTCTGCCGTGCAGTGAACCCAACAACTCGAATTTTGGAGTACACAGTTCATGATCTTACAGATGGAGTTAAGGTCTCTCAACCTGAAAATGAGATACTTCCTCAGTCCCTTCCATCAGCATCTCTAGTTCCTGGAGTTGATGTTTACAACGATGTGCTTTATCTGTATGAGCATGTGCTATTGGGATACCCAGAATCAGAGTTGGTGGAGTTGGCTACTCGAGCAATATTAGACACCAAACACTTCGTAAAGGAATGTTCATTTAGGGATGAGGAAGAACAGTTGTTGACATTCATTTGCCAACTCTTGCCCAGTTCGATGGACATGGACTTTGAGTTCAAGAGAGAGCTGCCACCTGGTGAGATAGTAGTAATGGCACTGCATGCAACTATTGGAGAGCTAAAACTAGCAGCTGAGACCGCACTGAGGGATACTTATTGTATCACAGAACGGTTTGTGGTCAAGGGAATTGAAGGGTTGGATGAAATGGATGATATGGAAGTACTTTTTGGAGTAGTTCAATCGGGAGCAGAAGTTGGTGTGAGAGGAACTGGGATAGATTTAGACACGCCTTTGAGGTATGAAGGTGGATCGGACACTTGGATGGTGAGATGTGAGTGTGGAGCTAGAGATGATGATGGGGAGAGGATGGTGTCATGCGACATCTGCGAGGTGTGGCAGCATACACGCTGCTGTGGAATTGAGGATGCTGATACTGTTCCTCCACTGTTTGTGTGCTCAGCATGTTGTGTTTCACTGGTGCCGCCTAAATTTGAACCTTGTCTTAGATTTGACTGTTCTGATGCTTTTTCCATTTTCTGCACACACTGAATAACTAGAAGAGGGAAATGCATATAGATTTGCTAATCTTTGTTGCTTCGAAAATAGTAATAGTAAATTTCAGATTCGAGTTCATTCTTTCGGACAGATAAAGCCAATAATAAAGAATTCTTTTGAGTCATGCTCATCTCTCTCCCTCACTCTCTCTCACTTCCACACACAGAGTCGGGCTGTCTGGTGTTGCTGCATTTGTACAGTTCTTGAAGAAGCCTTCCATGCTATTCTAGATATGAGAGATTGAAAAAAGAGCTGAAAAGAAAACAAGAAAGCAGGTTTGACTGAGAAAATTTTTCATTATTAAATTAATTACATGACTGCAAAAAGTGATTTACTTAGGTTTTTAAACATGAAGCAAGTGAACTCACGTATTGGCTTTTAGAAAAGGGGAGCTCTGAAAGGTTTTCCCTTTCTTTTGCGTGAACATTTTTCAGGTGACAGAACCCTCTTCTGCTTGTCCTTGTCTATATTCTGGACGGCAAGAAATGGAGGATCTGAGTCGCTGGACTTCCTTGAAAACGCTACGACCTGAAGTTTTAGCATAAATTCTAAACAAATTGAGTCCAACGTAAAATGAAACCAATATAATAACATAAATATACACAGAAAAAATATATATATAAACTGCAGTCAGATAATTTCCTTGCAAGCAATACAGCAATAGCGAAAGAGCTCTGGTTCAGTTAATCTTCTTCTACAGGTCTCACATGCTGCCCCAATGTTAGATATTGGGCCGGAGTGGGGGAGAGGACTTAGAGATATAACCAATCGCTTGTTGCATCTATATGGCTGAAAGAAAACCAGAATGAAAAGAAGGAAAACAACACAAGCAATAATTTTGAAAAGGGAATGCACAGCACAGAATATATAATATATACATGAACTCAAATGTACCTGAATTTGGGAACAATCAATGTACTTTTCCATGGCAGCAAGTGAGACAACATCCCTATAGACGTGCCTGTAAATTTTCAATATTCTGTGCAGGCGATGAGCACCTGAAGCCGTGCAGTACTGGCAAGCTGACTTGTTACAATTGATACAGTATTTATTCAACTCATTCTTGCGTATAGGATGAGCTAAACAGTCGTCAAAGAAGGTTTTTCCTAAAAATGATTCAAGCCATTCTGGCTTTTGATTTCCACTGGGAACTGCTGCTTCAACCTACAAAGTGCGGTATGCTTGAAAGTCACACAATTTATACAAGAGAATATAATAATCAACTCATTTAGAGTGGTATATATATACAACAAATGGAGTCTAATTTACAACAATAATTTTTTATTGTTTTTGTTTTATTTTTATCTAGTTAGAAATCAAGGGCATGAGTTTATTAATGAAGAAAGGAAGCCAAGGTTGTAAGAGTGGCAAGAGATCAACAGTAGGGACATCATGCCAAAACCATACTCTAAGCACCTAATCCCAAATTGGGATAAAGATATTTTGTACTAAAAACAAGAAAGAGCAGACTGTTGTCACTCTCCAACCAAACATGACCCCAATCACGAGCAGCAAGCAAACTCAGTTGAAACTATCACAGAAAATAACTCATTAGAATGAAGTATGCAACCCAAAGGGAGATGAACAAAACCCCACAAGAGATCAACTAAAAGTTATTGTGCATTTTAGCTATTAAAAATAATAATAATAATAATTGCTCATATTTTGGGGACAAAATTTTTGTTTTATTGCCAAATGAGTGATACCTTCATTAACTATTATTCACGTTTATTTATTAGGAACGAGTATCAGAAACTATGTGTTTACTAACACATGGATATTGGAATTATTCAAATTCCTTACTTCTCGTGCAGTTACTTATACATAAGGAATAAAAAACTATGTGGGTTTTATGTTAAAAATCGTAACCAAATACCCTCAAAACTAGGAATTAAATCAAGTAGGGGGAGAAGTTTATCTGATTCCAAGTCCATATTCCTATATTCTTAAGTTCCCCAATTCATGACTTCCTCCATTGCTTGTAAGTAAACATGTGAGTGAAATTTTTCCCTATAGATGAAAATAACTACAATATCAAGAATGGGTATTGGATGATTCCTATTCTTGCTTCTAATGTGTTTACTAACACATCGGTATTGGAATGATTCCATTTCCCGATCTCCCTGCGTTCTAAGGCTATATGATTCCACATTAAAATCCATAATCACACTCCAAATCATGAATGAGATCTAGGGGAAGTAGTTGATTCAATTCCAAATCATTAATTCCTCTATTGCTAAGTTCCTCAATTCATGGTTTCTCATTTATGATAAGTAAACATGACTTTATTGTAACAGTTAAACTTTCGTCACCAACAAGTGTTTTAGGTGATGATGTGAAAATTCCATCCCATATCGTGGCAAGATATATTCTCACATTTTTAAAAATTCCATTGCGATGAAATACTTCAGCATTTACAACTTAGCAAGTGGTGAAATTGTCGTGTGTGTGTGTGTGTGTGTGTGAGTATGTGTGTGTGAGTGTGTGTGTGTGTTTTATTTTTATTTTAATACAAGCAACATTCTAAATTACTCTAAATTAATCTAATTTACAGGGAAGGGACTCAAACTTGAGTGCAAGATGGCATGTTGACTTTCTTGGCTAACTGGTGTAACTCAAGTCTCCCAAACTGTCGTGTTTTTTTTGGTCGAGAAAAGTGTTGCCCGTTTGATTCAAGGTTTAGTAGCTTGGAATGAGTTTCAAATTGCATTTCCATATTTGGTACTTTTGGGAATGTAATTCTGGACTCATGTATATATGAACTTCTCATGTAGGGGAAATTTCATACCGTTGGTTCACCTTGAGAAACTCCCCACCCCCATCCCCTGGGCCCGGGATTGAGAAAGCATTTAATTCAGTTTTTTTGGTCTAACTTACCCATGTTATTATTTTTAAATACCAATTTTGACCCTTAAAAAACATTTCATATTAATAACTTCTAATAAAAAAAATCAAGAGTATTGTTGGAAAACTGAACAAATTTTGCATTCCTAATAATCCACTAACCAAACATGGGAATGAGAGAAAGTTAAATTTCCTAGTCCTCATTTCCAAGCGTTTCCAAACATGGGAATGAAGATCTTCCATTCCCATCTTGCGGGATTAGACATGAGAAGTTTATTCCCATAAAGTTCAATCCACGATCAAAACGAGCCCCACTCTTTAAAATGATTAGGTGTTTGATTCTTATACTTAATATGATGGTTAAATAACTTGTAGAAAATATGGGATTCTAATATAATATAATCTATACTACTATTTTGAATACAAACAGCAGTCTAAACTACAAGAGGGAGGGGAGTTTCTTATATACACACTACAAAGGTGCTTTAAACTTGAGACCACTGGTTTGTAAGTTAATGTCATTTTTCACTAGACTAGATCTCGTTCACATCTATACTACTATTTAAAAGAAGTGGCTTGGTCACCCTTTTGTAAGAAAATACCTAATATGTCCCCAATTTTATCATTACTCTCTATTTCCTATAAGAGTAAAAAAAAAATGTTACTCTTACCTCATTTGTATACCACGTTCTCATACCACCTTATGTGGCACATGAGGTGGACAGCCACATCAATTAAAAAGTGTCAATAAATCATAAAAGAAAAGAAAGCGTTAAATTAATTTTAATTGATGTCGTTGTCCACCTCATCTATCACATAAGGTGGTATGAGAATGTGATATACAAATGTGGTAAGAGTAGCATTATTCTTCCTATAATAGCTATACCATCACTCTCTTTATCTCTCTACTCCTCTAGCAATAGCTTCCCTTATCATTTCTTCTTCGTAACGCCCAATTTTTCTTTTTCATTTCTTCACATTTGGGCAGTTACAATTTAATTTCTATGTTTTTTAAGTTTTATTTTGATTATAACTTATTGTGGTTTCTTATAATATGGGGGAATTCCAATATGAAAATCTATCTTTTAAATAATAATATTAAAATAAAAGCTTTAACTAAGGGATCCATCAAATAATATTCGAGGGACCCTTGTGAGCCCACTTTGCATCTCTGGCAAAAATCGTTTGAATCTAAAGCCATTTGACCTTTCAATTAATTTTTCTCATTTTAGTATTTTTTTAAAGCACCGTGTTTTTTTTGTTTTTTTGTTCACAACTAGATGTCTTAATGATTTTCAATTTGCCTCTTTTATTGAAAGAATGATTTTTGAATGAAGACATGAAAAATAGACAATTCGGATCGTTAAAATAAAATTTATTGTGTTTCTTACAAAATGTCCCTCAAATAAATCTCTCAATAAAAGGGCACTGGTTATTTGGAGGATTTAGCTATTTACATTCATGAATTCCTTTTTGTACAAGCTTGATCCTACCCATTGATCTAATCTAGAGATTCAATGCATGTAGTGGAACATGATTGCATTCGAAAGTAATTAATTGTTTTTTTCTGCCTCTTATTACTCATTGAGGTTGAGATTTCATACACGAATGAGTGGTCCATTACTACTAACATCGATACTATTCCTAACTTAACCACATGTGTGGCCCAACATGTATATATGATGTTTTTTTTATTACAAAAAGCCTCATTATTATTATTACTAGTTGGAGTGCAAACTTAGATATTGTAAGTTTCATTTTTTTAAAGTTTTTAGTGTGATACTCTTACAATCTTCAACAGTTTAAATTTACAAAGTAATGTTTGCAAGAGGCTGCAAATAGCTCATCAATACAAGAGAGTTTGTGTGGGGTGTGATCAAGATGTTGAGTATATGTCCCACAATGGAAAAGGGAAGTCTTTCTCAATAGTTTAAAAGATTGTGCACTCTCTCATTCATTGTCAATTGGGTTGAGCTCAATGCTTACATTCTAATATGGTATCAAAGCATGTTATCCACATGTTGACCATAAGGGCCACACGTGCTTTCACTTCACCCAATAATATATATTATCCACTTATTTGACTTGAGTGACTAACTCAACACTCGAGTGTGTTGTGTGTTGATCTGACACTGAGAAAGGGAAGCCTTGCCTAATAGTTTAAAAGATTTGAAGCCCTCAACCCATTGTTAATTGATTCTAGGTTAGATTGTCCCATTCTAATACATACAAGAGTAAAATATACACAACCATATATATGTTGGAGAAGCTAGTTCCACAACTAGCCCAATCCCGTGGTACGAACAGGTAGATGGGAATATAACATAATTAATTAGCTCATCTGCTGACTAAGTATAGCATAAACTACAAGATTAACTTTGAGTTCAAATGCATAAAGAAACATAAACAAGGCAAGGAACAAAGACACAAAGGAAATGCAATATTAATTTGTGGTCCCGTACCTCTTGCATTAAACCAAACGCAGATGAACTCATCCTTCACTTCAAATCATGAAAAAAGGGATCAAACAATTAGGAAGAATGGGAAGAGAAGAAGAAGAAGAAGAAGAAGAAGAAGAAAACAATTAGGAAAACTTGTCTACATAATATTATTAGGGAAGAGTTCATGTTTAGAATGTAACAGCTTCTAGTTTTCTTTTTTTGTTGACTGGTCGATGAAATCGAGGGGTTGAATATGGCCAAGAAAAAGTTACTTTTTCTTCTTCTTTTTTCCAGGTTGTAGGCCAAAGTGTTAATATGCATGCATTCTTTTTTAATATTTTCACAATTACAACGCATTGATTTTATTAATTTTCTATAAGAATATATATATTTATATTTATCCAACCTCAGGTCCACCTGGAAATTGCCTTGGAAGAGGACAAAATCGTAATTCACGAAATCTGGACATAAATGTGACAGTTTGGAAACTTGTCTGATAGTTCATGCATCCTCAAGATGCTTTCCTGGCTGGGAATCTGGGATTTTAAACCCAATATTAGGAATTTTCATAATTTCATGATTTGAATAAAAATAAAATAAAATTTAAAATATTCATTGCGTTTTAGTTATTTCATATCCATTTTAAATGTACTCCATCTAGTTATCAAAATACATTCAATCTAAGACTTTCTAGTTCTTTTAAAAAATTTAATCTTGAAAAAAAAAATTCCAAAATTTTTCTATCAAATTTACTTTAATCGAAATGCAGCCTATGTGTGCTGGTCCATGCCGATAACATGGCGGGCTGGTCACTTTTTAGGAAGGCCGCACGAAGATTTATTTATTTATCTATTTTTTTAATTATCAAATCTATCTATTTGGTTTCATGTCCTACAAAACACACCAATTTACAAAGTCTAATTAAGTGCATGATATATCACGTGACTGTACTATCGTATTATTCTATAATTTCTTGTTTAAATTGAAAGAGGAAAGGACATAAGGCTTCTTCTTTTTTTTTCCTTCTCTTTCTTAACAAATTAATCACCAAGAATTCTTCAATGGTTTCTCCAGCAAAGCCGAAAGGTACATCTCCCGTAGCTTCGGCCCACGATCAAGCTTCCTCCCAACAACCCACTTCAACTTCTTGAACCCAACGCTCTCAATGAGCGGTCCATAGACCTCTTCCAACTGCTCACCTACACAGAAAAAATGGTCAAGCCAAAACAACCCCCCAGGCCTAAGGATTCTGTAGATATCAAACACCGCAAAATGAAGCAACGTCGTTGGTATCCAATTACTCAAAACGTGCATTGAATGCACAATATCCAAAGTGTTATCGAAAAAAGGCAGTCTCTGTGAAATGCTTATGTACAAAGGCACAACCCCTCTTGAAGCTATGAAGCTGTTAAAAGGACCGTTCAAGTTCATTGAAGTTGTCACAATTGTGACGTTCCTTTCCCTCATTCTCACAGCGAATGTGGCCACTCCGCCGCCAATGTCCAGCCCGATTCGTATCGTCCCGGGTTTCTTGAACCCCAAGACTTCATCCACACCGAAGTCTAGCCCTCCTCCTTTGCCTTCCCACCGAGTTTTCTCATTTCCTTGAAGGTCAAAGCAGTCTAAGCAGTCGTCAAAACCATTATGGTTTTTCTTTCTGTTGACGAGGCAGTTGTAGTCTTTGCATTTGTAAGCTGTCCATACGACTGAGGAGTCGGATGGTGTGGACCACAAGCTTTTGGGAAGAGGATAGGGTTCCACATAGTTAGCGTTTGAGGCAGGGTGGCAGCGGCGGCGGGGTAAAGGCTCGCAGCCTTTGAGGAGGAGCCTTTGGGCTAAAAACTCGTCATCCGGACACGACCCGTTGACTTTGTAGGACATGAAGC